TAAAGCCATTTGGTTTCTGCAAATTACACTGCACTTTCTTTGCCGCCAGTAATGATGCATTCGCAAAGCTGTACATAAGGCTTAATAAGTAAATAATGCTTGGATTTGATACATCGCCGAGATGTCTCAAAGCACTTCACAGGATTTCCTGTAAGGTATAGTAATTGCATATTTGAAGACAAACAAAACAGCCAATTTGGGCACAGCAATGTCCTACAAACAGCCATGAAATGAGCAGTTGTGTTTGGGGATCTGTTACCCAGGACATCAAAACTCCCTTCACTTCTTTTTTTGAATAGCGTCATAGTGAATCGTGTTTTTTTGGATTGGATCTTTTAACATCCACCTAAACAGACTGACAGAACATTAGTTTTAACGTCTCAACAGAAGGATAACACCTCCAACAATACAGTGTTCCCCGAGCACTACACAGAAATGCCAGCCAACGCATCTCAACCCACAACCTTCTACCTCAGAGCTGGAAAATGCTACCAATTGAGCCAAACTAACATCTATAAGCTCTACGTATCGTGTTTAGCAGAACAAATAAAGTTACATGGCCCACACCATTCGTAACTACCAACACATCTAGAAGTTATTAAATCTGCTTCACCTATGTACGATCACAAGAGCCAGATGCTTTCGTGATTTAATATTGAGTTGAGATTCTTGTTCCTGGCTATTCCCTGCCACTTCTCTCCTCTCCCCCAATCTCTCAGAAGGAGTTTCACTAATTTCTCCGCTAATGGTGCCTCAAGTCTCCAGTCCTCATGCCAAAGTGGATGTCTTCATCGTGTTCGACCACAAGGATCATCGGATCCAAGTCAAATCCTGTCCTCACGTCCACACAAAGTAGGAGCCACTGTATAGTGATCTGGAATGGGAATTCATTTACCCTCTTTAATCCAGGGGCACACAGGCAAATTGAATCACCCTCACTGCTGCCTCGTCTGAGATCAGATAACTCAATAGGGACTCGGGTTGGATCCAGCAACTGAAGTCGCATACATGGGGAAAGTCTGAGGTTTGATTTCTGGATTGAGCTGAGTTAAGATGATCTCGCACAGGGCAAGTAATAGCGTGATGTGATTGTCTCCTGGGTTAGAGGAGTAAAAATTAATCAGATCACTATTCAGAGAGCCCCTCTACCCTCCCTCCCCTTTGCTGGACAGTGTGAGTAAGTGGACGTTGGCCGAGGATAGGATTTCTCTAGCTTTAAAACTCAGCTACGTACTGGATAAATGCACTGAGTCTTTGGAAAAACTGTGGCTTTTTGTATCTTTGCTTCTTGTGACGTAAGCACGAGGTCTGATCTGGCCCAACTGTAGATCACACAAACCGATGGCTCTGGCATCACACCCAACTTACCACCATTCAAGCTCTCATCTTGTGTGCAATCCTCATGCTCGGAGCTGATTGATGTCGATAGGTCAATATTTATCACATCAAACAAGCCTGGATATGCTGGAGGGAAATCCTCCGTTCCCCCCACCCCAATGATGTGTGTGAAACCAGGTCAACGACACTGGACTCCTGGATCGTGGTTTAGTTTTTGGCTGCCAGTTACTGCAGGCTACTCGAAGGTATTTTTTGTTCAATAAAAATTGGATTGAGTGACCAATTTATTGTTTATTTTTTCAAGGAATTATTACCCTTCGGAAAAGCAATCCTCCAATGGACTAACAACCGGGTTCTTACTCACTGCTAGGTAAACAGAGGTGTGTGCAGTAAGGAAACTTGCCCAACGTTTCGCCCTGCCCGGGAATCGAACCCAGGCCCACTCGCTTGCGAGACGAGTGCTCTAACCACTGAGCTACAGGATTCCCATACAGGAATATGGGGTTCAGGATCCCCATCTTCAGCACATCCATTTTTATTCACTTTCGTTAAAACATAAGATTCTCTCCCGATCGTTCAGTCAGTCTATTCAAAGAGAGGGAGAGTGTGTGTGAGAGAGAGAGCGCGCGAGTGTGATAGAGATAAGGAGCTATACTAAATGCAAGGATTAATATTATTATTATCTCAGCTTTGAGACGTATGAATGATATACTGCAAAGTGACGTGACTGTGTGTATTTTGTGGGAAAATGCAGCAGCCAATTTGCGCGCAGCAATGTTCCACAAACAAGGAGCAAGTGATCAATTTTATTTGGAGGATTGTTGGCTTGGATAGCGTGAGAAACTCGCTTTTCTTTTCAAATAGTGCCATTGGATCTTTAACGTCTACGTGGACAGGCCCACAGGACCCGAGTTTAACATCTCATCCAAAGGGCGACACCTCCTACAATAAAGCACACACCCAGCACTGCATTGGAACGTCGGAGTAAACTCTAGGGGTTCCAAGTCCAGATACGAGGCTTGAACCCACAACGTTTTGACTCAAGAGGCAAGAGCACTACCAAATGAGCCAGACCGTCACATTGCGCGGCCTTATCACTTTGTGGAGACTTCTCAAAGTGCTTCACAGGATATGCTGTAAAGTGACTGTGTATTTTGTGGGTGAGCATGTATTACAAGGTACATTATGGTCTGTGCCCCAGGGGGTGGAAAGAAGTGTCAGGAGGAAACTCAGTGTGGACTATTTAGCTTGAGGATGTGATTGTGCTGAAGGTTGAATCACTGCGGAGGTTGGGGGGAACGGACAGACAGGGGATTGACATTAGAATTAGCAGTAATGTTGTTTCCTCCATTTTTTTTGACTCAATTAAAAAACAGCTCGATGCAGTGATGGGGGTGTGGGTTGGTGAGTGGGTGGACGGTGGGGTAGGTGCTCTGGAGGGATGAGATCAGACGAGTCAAAGGCCCTTCTTCATTTGAATCAATCATGCGATCCTAGGTGATATGTAAGTGGATTACAAGGCAGGGATGACTTAGTTAAGAAAGGCGATAGCGTTTCCACATAGGTTGGAAATACGCCATTACAGTAAATAACTTGTTGTGCTGGTCTCAATGTACAACCCGGCTTTTAGTCATTCCAAACATAAGAAATGCACGACAGAAGGACATTTTTATTTCCAATAAAATGAAAAAAAAACTTTAAAAAAACAGAGAACGGCACAATCAGATGTATTTCACAGAATTAAAAAGATACAAAGAAAACACAGGAACAGGCACACACGCCAGTGGGTTAGACCCAATACCCAATCATCCACCATGTTCGATCTGCTTAATTTTTTTGTGTTTAATTCGCAAAGTTATGTCACCTTTTTTTCTGTTGTAAAAGGATTGAAACGCAGTAAGCAAAACAGTCCTGCATGAAATAATGTGTTTAGCAGAGAAGCCTAGCATGTCGCAGTTGATAAACCATCCCAACCAACTCTTCCGATGGCCCCAATAGGGTAAGATGCAGGGACCGCACTGAAACCAAGTGCCGCAGGTTCGAATGCTCGTCGGTCGTGCAGTCAGAAGCAACAGTGGACTCCCAACCCCTGACCTCAGACCTCCGCTACACATTCCCTCCCCCACTCTTAATCTAATTGCAGTGACCTCCGCTGGTCAGAATCGGGGGTGGGGAGGGGGTGGGGGGGGACATTGATTCACTCTGGCCTGTGATGTTCCTTACCCCGGTCCCGCTCACAGTTCAACGACTGTCACTCGAAAGAGATACCACAGTTCAACCTAGCACCTGCGAAACCAAGCTCCAGCGGTAACAGGTGGGAAGAAACTTAACTAAAACAGTGAACCCCCTCTGTACCTATTCAGTTCAATCTCCTCACGCAACTGCTCGTGGATGTTGCTGTCTCAACATAGGCTGATCAACCACTCAAGCACGTGAAGAGAGTACGCAGACTGAGAAGGAATTTCAAGGGAGCATCAAGACTTGAGCGTAATTACAGTGCACCGAGGTATAAAACAAAATGTCAGTAAATTGTACAGTCTTTTATTTCTTATTTACACGCTTTATTAAATCTTTGGTTAGAAAAAGCATTGCAGTCGCATTTTTTTTGAATGTCTCAAGCAAAAGGAAGCCTGATGTCTATCTGTCACGCAAAGTATCCACTGGCTCTGATACACACCAATGAGAATAGATGGACCCTGTTTATCTGCAGCTCGGTTTTATTTACTGCGCTGCACTTGTTTTCCCCGCTACGGTGCCCAGTTTACAACGGTACGGGGTGGGGGGGTGGCGGTGGTGGGGTGGGTGAGGCAGAATAATTGACAGTAGTTACTGTTACTGATGGCATCGACCCACGTGGCTTCACTGCCTTACAATGTCTTGAAACCAAGGTCGAGGCGGGTGAAAAATTGCGGAAAGCAGGACAAGCGGACAAAGGGGGTGAACCTCGCGAGCGGTACAGAGCGAGCAATCAGCTGCTGGACCGACTGGGTTGGCAGGCGGCGCAGTCGAAGTTTGCCTTCTGAGCAAGAGCCAGCAAAACCAAACCCCAAAGATTTAAAAAAAAAGCCCTGGCGAGACCACCCTGCCCGGGTCGTTTATTCCACGCCCCCTCCCCCCCCCCCACCCACCCCATTTTCACCCCCTCGCATTTCAAAGCTGTGGCGCGGGTTTACTGTTCCTGGCAAGCTTTTTCCTGTCAGTTTTACATGAAAACACTTGGCTTCCTGAGGCGAAAAGGCCTTTGGGGGCCTCCCCCCTCCCTCTCCCCACCCCACCTTCCCCCTCCCCCCCCCCAACCCAGCCAGCAAGTCGCAGCAGCAAAGCAACAAGTACTATAATTCAGAGCGACTCTCCCCATTAGCAGCAAGGAATGTGCTGCTCACCAAAGGAAATGAAACGTTCTTCTGTGGGGAATCTCGTTCTTCCTGCTCCAAGCGGCAATCGGCCTTTGATGTCCGACGGCTCAGGCAGTTTTAGCCGAGCTCTGGCTCGACTCCTCGCCTCTCGAGCTGGACCTTTACTTCTCATGGGATCAAAGCACAGCTGTGTGACTTCCGGGCTCCGTCGTGTTACTCAAGATCCCACATGAAAGCGGACTTTAAAGAAAGATTTATGGCACTTCCACGCAAACCGAGGATAAACAATGCCAAACACTGAAACCGTTTTGTGTGTGTGTTTTTTTTTAAAATTTTATTTTCATATTTCCATTGCCATATCTTCACAAGCCCCTGCTTTCAAAGAAATGAGTGGTTACCACCTCGGATTGCGGAAAGCTTTACTCGGGAGAATTCCCCACTGTGGCTGTGATGTGAAATGTTGCCCTTTTGTTTTGCTGCAAAAAGCGTAGGTGTAAGTTATGGTCAAATCAAATACTCATTTAAACACTGAGGCCATGGATTCCAGTTATAAAAGAAAACCTTACAAAGGGAGCTTGGATGAAAGAGCCCTGGAGTCCCAAAACGGACAAGAGTCAGGGTAACGTCAGGAACCTTGCTTGCTCTCGGCCAGGCTGCTAGTTAAGGGAATAAGAGCCTGATAGGAACAGTCAGCCCCAATCCCTCTCTAAAGCACACTTCCTACCAGCGAGGCCGGCTCTAGAAGGTGGACCTCAATAGTGAGCGTAAAGGTGGGAGCCCGAGAGCAGTCCCGGGGGAGGAAAGGAGGAATATACACGTCTCCTTTTCTGTTTATAACTATTCACTCGAAAAACCGCACAATATAATAATATCTTAATATTCTCCGATCTCGTTTCTGACAATGTTTCTTCAAGTACTAGAGCGACAGTGACCGTCACGGGCACAGCACAGAGCCAGGGAATGGAGAACAGAGCAGCCGAGTGATGGGAGTCAGACCCGGCAGGTAAGGTCTCCCTCACAGTGGCCGTTCCATTCTCAATTCCTCATTGCAGCGCCTGGGCCAAATTACTCCTCTGATCAAGAAACTGGCCACTTCTTTTCCTTTGTATTTACAGACGGTGCTCTCTTGATCCTGGACTGGGACAGTACAGTGCAGTCACAGAATGCAGCCGCCAATGTGAAGGCCTCCTCAATTGATGGGACGGACGGACGGATGGACGGTCGATCGATCGAGAAGCCTGACGGGTCGCGGAGGGAGATTGTCAGGCCGTCTGGTCAGGTTACAAAACAAAGGAGTCTTGAAAGCAGCCGCCCGTTTGCTCGAGCGGCTGTGAGTATTTCAATCCCAACCGTGAGGTCCCAAGTCTCAAGAGTTGCGACTCATAATTGTTCTCCTCTGTGGGGTTGAGGGTTATTTTCTTTGGTGGGTGGGGGTTGGTGGGATGGTGGTGGTGGTGGTGGGGTGGGGGAGGTGGGGTTGGTCAGTTTTCAGGTGGGCTGCTGGACGGAGCACCACCGGGAAGAGAAACGTTCCACCTCTGGGGGAAGGAAAAGATTGACATCCTCTGGCTCGCCCCACACTTCCTGTCGGTCGGTGAGGGAACAGCGTTGCCGAGATTCCCGGGGAAGTCTGTGGACATGCCAGCCTGCTCTCCCGGCTGGAGAAGGAGGAGGCGTTTCGGCGAGTGGCCTGCGAGAAGGAAGGAGGGAAGGAAAGAAAGAAAGAAACGTCAATAGGAACGGAGCTTAAAACCTAATCCGCGGCGAAAAAAGACTCTCTGATCTCAAAAGCATTTATCATCTTCGAGGTTTGGAAGTGGGGAGGGGTGGGGGGGGCCGGGGGTGAGGGTGGGGGGAAACACTTCAAGACGGATTTCCGCATTCAGGTATTTCAGTTAAAATTCCCTCCGTACGTAGCCTGGAAGGTCAGAAGTTTTTGTACCAGTCAAGGAGTGTGTTATCCGTCGACTCACTTATTGTTACAATTTGAAATGATGGTTCCTCGGGGATAATTTGACGTTCAGTGAAAAGTAAAGCGATGCCCGTGTGAGAATCTCGCTTAAGGTTTCTTCTGCACGCTGTGCCCTCCAATGTGTCTGTGTCCATTGGCGGAAGGCGGTGAAGGGGGGGGGGGGTCGGGTGAGGGCTGGCATGGCGTGTGTTTCACTTTTGGTTTCCGAACGTCACCGTCAAGATCTCTTCAGCTCTTCTGCCGATACCCTGGGTTCGGCGAAAACCGCGGAGGGCATCGAGGCTTTCCAATGCGAAGGGGGTGGGGGGGGGGACTATTTTATAGTGAAAAGCTCCTCAAAACCACTCCACCCGCTCAGGCCCAGGCTGCAGCCAGGAGATCTTTCTTCCTCTACCTTCCCTCTCTAACTGAAGACTGTTTGGCTCACAATCCCCCAGTATCCCGGCGCTCGCTCACAAGAAGAAGAACAAAGCAAACAGCCTTACAGCAGATCTCGCTGCTTCTGCAATGCAGCAAGCACGGACTGCTGTCCATCTCTTGAACACCAAAGGAATATTCAGTAACATTTCATTACTCCCCCCACCACCCGCCCACACCTGCCCACCCAAAAATTAGGTACTAAACTGTTACAAATAAGTCTTATAATATAATAAGACTCACATAAGTCATATATCATTTGGGACCATAACAGTTAATATGTCTTACGCAAAGTATGAGTTATGGTAAACTTGCATGTCATACCATATATGACTTATGCAAAGTCATGTGTAAGTCAGATTTTATATGACTTACACACAACAAACACACAAATACTGAATTGGCTGGTGACATTTAGGCAAGGTTTCTGTTTAACCCATGCATAATAAACCTATGGTAGCCCATTCTTTCCGATGTACAGTATTGCACAGAACTGTACCTCATGTGCAGAAAACATGTACTGTACAGTGAATAGCACAGACAAACAGGTTTTAACATAGAACTGTTTCACTAGAATATAAAACAGTTGTTACAAAGAACTTTTATCACTAACTAAATTATCAATCACGTTTTAAGGCAATGTTAAGTCAGACATAAACTCTCAACTCACCCTGCATTCAGTTGGGGGGTATCTGCACTGTCTGATAGCATGATGACTGGTCAAAACCTTGGCTTCTGTACTTGTTCATGTTCTGTACTGTGCATGTGGTCCTTTGGCATTGCAGCCAGTTAGTGCACATGACATGACGATGACAACGCTCTTTCCTCTCTCAACCCTCTCCCCCTCCCGCCCCTCACCACTGCCGCGTTTGATAATCTTAATGTTTAAGCCCTCGGGAGAGAGGGAGGCACGGGAAGCGTCCGGTGCATATGTGTGGTGTTCTGTAAAAAATTCTGATAAAAGTGCGGTAGCTGCGAGTGTATATATATGTATATATATACGATATAAATTTAAGTGGATTTAAAAGGAAATCAAATGGCATTCGGGTGGATGTACAACCTGGGCAATCATATGATTTATGCAGATAAGACTCCTACAAGTTTTACTGTACTACCTAACGGGAGTTGTTCTATAAGCTATTCCTAAAAACACAATGGCCTAGTGCATTATGGCTTGCCTTAGATATCGGCAGATACATTCAGTGTTTATAAAGTTGAAAGCAAACCCCCTGCGATCAGGGCTGGGGATTGTGGTTGCTGCTGGTGTTTTGATTTCAGGTCATTTTACAGCCTAGTAAAAGCCCCTAATATCCAACTACGGGTCAGAAATCAAAACATTGGCTGCAAAACAGACCACCGGGATCACAACCTTTTCCTCTGATTGTTTTTTTNAGAGAACCCTAAATTTTGGGTCAGAAGATAAAAAGTCACTCTTAAAATGCAGCGAATTCCAGGCTGTGACCCCAACGTCTTCAACATCCTTGTCGTTCTCCTCTAACACTATCCTTATGAAGGCAAGTCACTCAAAAAATAGGTAGGAGTTACAAATCAGTTTCATTTCACAGTACTTTGCGATCTTAGTTTGCTGTGTTTCAGAATTAGCTCGTAAAGATTTACCCCAACTCCACCCACTGCCAATCATGGTAAATTTAAGCTATATTTATTTATTCATTAAAGCAATGCAGCTCAATACTACTTACCAAGTGTGATGCCTGCCTCAAAGCACTTTGAAATTCAGTTTACTTATGTAAATTACATTTTCTGCAGATTGTAGTCAACTAATTAAGATACATAACACATAAGATTTTTTATATATTTGAGAAACAAAAACAAAATAGACTAAGAGTTCCAGTAACAAAAACTTCAGGCCAAAGCTGATTTCAAAGGCAACCCAGATACAGTATATCATCATGAATATATGTCACTAACGACAGCTTCAGTTGCAGATAAATTCTATCCGTCAACCCAGTATTAATAGCTCACTGCCAATGGATAAGTTATAAATCCAACTAAAATCGCATTAAGGAGCTGAAATGTATCTGGTGACTTCAACTGTAATGTTCATATCTTCATAAAATTAAGGTCTCTATCTAGATCCTGCCCTCTGTTGAAAGATTTAGATGGAAAGATAACCAATTAATTCAAGGCGATTGTGAATCTTCAGCTCAGAATGCAAACATACTGGATTGAACTGGAACATTCACTGGGACATTCATTCTAGCTTATCTTCTTTGGTCAGCCGGGTGTCTGACACATGCGGAAACCCATCACCGTGCTTAAGAGTATCCAAACCAAGCTGACATTTCCACGCATCCCACCTACACATGGAAATACCAGAGATGGATTGTTGGACTAGAATTTGCACTCTCTCCCTGGAGGGACACATCCTGCTTACCTGATTCCAGAAAGTATTAGGCGCAGATTGGCAAGAGCCAAGGCTTGGGGACCCCAGAGTATACATTGGAGTCTAAACAGCTAAAACCACATATCTTGCCATTGATATCGCCGTCTGTCAAGCTTTCCCTCTACTTGTCCAGCTAGGACCACCCTACCCTTTAGGGCTTTGGCTTGCAGGGTTAAGAGGAGCTGAGTGGGATGACTCTCTGCCCCCAGTGACTGGTCTGCCCTTCCAGGTCCTGCCGATGAGCCCGCATCAGTGACTTAAACATTTGTGATCTAACTTGTAGGGCTCACTTGGAGCTAACAAATTCTCGACTTTGAAATCTGTTTGGAGGCTGACTTCATGGAAGTCTGTATTGAGAGCAGAGTCTCAGAGGGTTGGATTATGACACATCTGGGATTCCATCCTTACAAGTCATTTTGCACATCAGACATCAACAATGCACAGCAATTTTACATTTACATTGTGCCTTTCATGTTGGGAGGATGTCTCAATTTGCTTCACACAGCTGACTGGGGGTCTTAGCTGGGGATGGAGGGAGCCAAAGAGTAATAGTAATAATCCTTGGATTTGATATAGTGCGTTATCACGTCTTCAAGGCCTCGCAAAGTGCTTCACAGAATACGCTGGAAAGTGAATTGGCTGTATATTTCATGAGCCAAAGGTGGCGGTCGGGGGGGTGGGGGGGTGGGGGGGTGGGGAAGTGATTGAAAGCCTGGTTGAATAGAAGCTTTAAGCCCGTTTTAAGGTGAGCTTTAAAGGTGGCGAAGGAGGGGGTGAGGTAGAGGGGTTATTATAATAATATTATAATATTATAATAATAATATTATTATTATTATTATTATTATTGAAAGCTCACCTGCCAATAGTGGGGCGAGTTGGAGTGGGAACATGAACTAGGCTGGATACGTTCAAGGACTATGGCAAGGGATGGACATTAAGAAGAACACATATGCTGTTGGGAATCTGTCTGGATTATCTGTAACTCACTGCTACAACACACAGAACCTGTACACGAAAACTATTACTATCCTCTGTCATTGCAGTTACCGGCTACATTACCATAGTTAAAAATAAAAGGTCCTGGACTCGTGTCAAGAAAACGGTGGTTGAGTTACAACTCATTCAGTGATGTTACGCACTTAATATACGATTGACAAACGGAACCTGTCTGGAGCCTGTCACACAAGAGAATGTTTAAGCCGTGCTGAGATGATCCTAATTCAGTTGGGCATTCAAGAGCCGATCTCAATGTACGACTGTCGTCGAGTATATTGAGGGTCACAAAATGCAATATGTGGTGTGATAATTATCACATTGCCGGAAACTGCGTGTTGAAAATTGCCGTCCAAACCAAAGTATTTAAGTATTGATTAGCTTGGGGTGTGAACATTCCTGTCCTGACATCCTGCTTTGGTCTGAAGCAGGACAGAAAGGGTTTGCTGTTGCTGTCCAGCTTCGAGTTTTAGTGTTCCAGTCGAAAAATGGCAGTGTCAGTGCCAATACAACGGATACTGCCTTAAATCTGATCAGGTTACCCCAGCATCCTGTGCAGCGACACTCAAACCCTGGACTCTGGAGATAGCAACAACTGGAATCTTTGGGCTCAACTCATGTCAAAGTTTATGTCATGGGCCGGAGTGGAGGTCAAAACTGGTGTTCTGTCTGTTCAGGTGGACGTGAAAGATCCCATGACATGAACTCGAAAAGAAAAGGGAGTGTTTCTTTTTCTTGGGTGTTCTCGTCAACGGCCCCGTTCCACCTCCACCCCACCCCCCCCCCCACCCCCAAATAAAATTGATCATTCATTTTATTGGCTGTTTGCGTGACATTGCTGTGTGCAAACTGACTGCTGCGAAGACCTACAAATACACAGTCGCGGTATAAAGTGCGGCGAAGT